AAACATACGTATAGTTACTATGTAGATACTACAGGCGTCTTTGGGCCGTGGACACTCTTTAGTGTTGTGGGGTTCAAGGCACTTAAAGCACCTGGGTGGGGCGGAGCAGTTGGCCGCCGCATGACCATATAAGCTGGCAGCGGTGGCACTGCGCCGGGAAACCGCGCCTATGTGGGGGCTCAACGCTCACTCTCGACAGGCCACACACTGTGCGTACCTGCCGGAAGATGGTTCTTGAATAGAATAGAATAGAATATTTTTTTTATTCAATATACATTACATGTGTAATTCTTATTGAAAGTCATTTTTTACTTTACCACTGGTTCGAAAAAACCCTCTGTCCTGGGAAGAACCAGCAAGAAACCCAGCGGGACATTTTTTTTAAATAAATTTTACAATATAAATGATTACGAACTATTTACAAAATTTATTTTAGAAACTGCTTGGAAGCGATCACCTCATTCCCAGGGGTTATTATCAACCATGTATTCATTTATACTATAATAACCCTTTTTATACAGTTTCAGCTTAATGAAACATTTAAACTTGGTAATAGAGAGAACCTGTATACTTTCCGGGACCTTGTTGTAATAGCGTATACATTGCCCCAAGAATGAATTACTGACTCTGTGGAGTCGAGAAACTGGTATCACTAGCTTGTGTTTGTTCCTAGTGTTTACAGAATGTATATCACTTCTTTTACTAAAACTATCTTTGTTTTTGTGAACATACATTAAATTTTCGTAAATATACTGAGAGGCCAAAGTTAATATATTAATTTCTTTAAATTTATCTCTAAGGGACTCTCTCGGTTTTAGATTGTAAATAGCTCTAATGGCCCTCTTCTGTAAAACAAAAATAGTTTCAGAATCAGCCGCATTTCCCCATAGCAAAATCCCATAAGACATTATGCTATGAAAATAACTAAAATAAACTAATCTAGCTGTCTCGACACTAGTGAGACCTCTAATCTTTTTTACAGCATAGGCTGCAGAACTTAGTCTGCTTGCTAATTTGGATATATGGGGGCCCCACTGTAGCTTTGCGTCAAGAGTGATGCCAAGAAAAACAGTGGATACAACAGGGCTCAATTCCTCCCCATTTAAAAACACATTGGTATTAAGATTTTTAACATTCGTTGTTGTAAATTTAACACAATTAGTTTTATTTCCGTTCAAATGCAGATTATTAACGTTAAACCAATGCACTAATTTTGATATAGCATTATTCACTTCGTCACATTTCAATGATTGACGTTTAAGTTTAAAAATCAAGGAAGTATCATCAGCAAATAATACTATATCATGACTATCCCCTACAAGGTGAGGTAAGTCATTAATATATACCAGAAACAGGAATGGGCCGAGAATCGAGCCCTGAGGAACACCCATTAGTACAGGTGACCCGGAAGAACTTTTACCATTGATAATAACCTTCTGTTTTCTATTACTTAAATATGAAATAATAAGTTTAAGCGCTGTGTTCTTGACACCATAGTACTGTAGCTTCCTGATTAATATATCATGGTGAACACAGTCGAAGGCCTTGGAAAGGTCACAAAATATACCCAAAGCATCCTCTGAATTCTCCCATGCACAAAAAATATGTTTAATAAGCTCAACTCCAGCGTCAGTTGTCGAGCGACCCCTTGTAAAACCGAATTGATTTTTATGTAGCAATTTATTAATATTGAAGAAACTTAACATCTGATCTAAAATAATTTTTTCAAAAATTTTACTTAATGTTGGTAGTACAGAAATTGGTCTAAAATTGGCGGGGTCTAATGTACTACCAGATTTAAATATAGGTATGACTTTACTATGTTTCATTAAATCAGGAAACACACCAGATTCGACGCTTATATTAAATATAGTGGCTAGATAAGGTGCTAATGTATCTATTATAGATAAAATAACTTTAACGGAAATCCCCCATAAGTCTGCCGTTTTCTTAACATCAATAGCTTTAAAATATTTAACGATATCTTTTGGCAGTACCCTATGGAATTTAAAAGTATTTGAACAAGCCTTTACATTTTGTTTGAGCAATGATTCGACGACAGTAGGAGAAGAATTTAATGATTTTGTTGTCAAAAAAGGAACATCAGTAAAATGTTTCTCAAAAGCCATAGCAACTTCTTGATCAGATCGCGTTAAATTATTGTTAATATTTAATTGAAAATCCGAGTTGCGCGGTTTGACCTTGCCCGTTTCACTATTTATTATTCTCCAGGTCATTTTAATTTTGTCGGATGCAGTTTTAATTTTGTTGCTTAAATGTAAAGCCTTAGCAGTGGAACACACTTTTTTAAATATTTTAGAATATGTTTTTACATAATCTCTAAATATAACACTACTATTATATGATCTTTCATCATAAAGCTCGTATAACCTTCGCCTACTTTTATAAATTCCTACTGTCGCCCATTCATTAAATGATTTGCGACTGTTAAGAGAGAAAGTTTTAGAAGTAAATATTCTACTAAATTCACAACGTATGATTTCAAATAATGTAGCATACAAATAATTAGCACTATTTTTAAACGAAAGTGATGGAAGTCTTTTTATTATATTACTTCTAAACCTCTCCAAGCGATGTTCATTTATTGGAACAAACACAACTTTCTTATTTTTCTGTTTTTTGTGTATGTAAGGTAGTGATACTAACTGTCCACAGTGATCTGAACTTAAATTTTGAATAATTGATTTATGCAAGGGCTTAACATCTGTAAAAATGTTATCTATACAGGTCGCACTAGGCCCAGCAATACGTGTTGGTTCTAAGAATAAATTTACAAGATTATACGATTTAAACAATAAGCGAAACTTAATACTAATGGAAGAAGTTTCAAGGAGATTGATATTAAAGTCTCCACACATTACAACAGACTTGTTCTGTTTACTAAGTTTGAGTAAAACTTCTTCCACAATCCTTTCAAAATGGTCATAAGTAGCACATGGGGGTCTGTAAACACTTACAACAATGAGGTGCTCGAGCTCGACACAAGCCATTTCTACAGTTCGTTCAACAGAGAGGCTCACAATATCCTTACGTTCTTTATATAATAATGATTTATCTGCTAATATTAAGGAGCCACCACGTAAACTTTTTTCTCTATTGAAGGAACTGACCAACTGGTGATTTCTGAAATTAAACATGAAATTATAATCTTTTAGCCAATGTTCAGTAATACAAAGGATGTGTATATTGTTACTATTTAAAAACAATTCAACTTCCAATTCTTTGCCCAACATGCCTTGTATATTTTGATGCACCAGGTGTAAACAATTTTTATTACTTATTTGTGGGCTGTATTCAAAATTAATTAAACTCTTATTATTGCTAGAGATTTCCTCTATTGTCACATTCACTAATTTAAATTAGTTGGAACTGATTCGAAATTAAATGTCAAATGATTATGCTCAATAAAAGCAGTCTTGGTAGCCAAAAACTTGGCTGAGTTAAAAAGTAAATAATAAGATAGCACATTTGCTTGCCTCCGGCACGTTAGAAAGGATGACGAGGGCAAGCTTACTCCCCAGGGCAAGTTCTACTGTGCATTTTGTGCACGGCTTCTACGGGGAATCCTTGGGACTTAAGGTCCTCGAGGATTTCCTCGTTGGAGAATTCGAAAGGGACACCGCGGATGACAGCTCTGATTTTGCGCTCTTCCGGAAGAGCGTACTTATGGTAAGAAACTCGTTCAGCTGTGAATAGCCTGGTGAGACGACGGAAGTCGTCGATTGATTGGGGATGATTTTATAGCCCCGTCCAGCAACGCAGCTACGAGAAGCTATCCACGAGTCTTACGCCGGCAAACGGAGCGCGACATACATATAATAGTTGTACATAATATTTTATTGATTAATGTTTATTGGTCAAAATGTATGTATTGTAATTGGCTAAGTAAATAAAATATTTTACTATTGGTAAATTAAGGATGTAGCCGGGCGTATAAATATAGGCGGGGTTTACTGAAATAAATATACTCCATTCGTCTGCACATAGTAAGGCATATCAGCAAGATTCAAAGTTTTATTTTTCTGCTCCTAGACCACTCGGAGTATGTTAATAGTGGACACCATACACCACTATTACAACTTAAAGAATAATACAGGAGCAGCAATCCGCTGTCAGTTTAGTTCTCGCCAATACTGAATAGAATAGATCTTACTACATATTTATAATTTAAATGATAATAATCTTTATTGACTTTTATTCTATGGAATAGATAGATTATAAGTTTGATTTAAGTTTTTAAGTTGCCCCCCCCCCCCCCTTACTGTAAATATTAACTTAAATTTATCCCTTAAATTTATTATTTTTTACTAAATATCGTTTGTTCGATCGCTATTGATGATTGTTCAATCATAAATACAATTTAATTGTTAACAATTGACCATAAAAGCGAGCGAAGCGAGCGCGGGACTAGGGACACCCCGACTCGGACAGGTCAGGTTAGAAGGGGATGGTAGGCTAGAGTGAGAGAGCAAAGCGAGCGAATAGAGCCCGCTATCCCCTTTGTGGTTACTTTTTTATAAACCATCTAGTAATAGGAGCGGGGCTCCGTCGATTGCTTAGAAATATTGAATAATTGACAATTAAGTTGTATTTATGATCTAACAATCGTCAATAGCGATCGAACAAACGGTATTTAGTAAAAATTAACTAATTCAAGAGATTAAAGTTAAAATTTACGATAAGGGGGGACAGCTTAATGATGAAATTTGTTTTATTAATTATAAATAATTAAAAGACGAACAAACAATTTTTATGTTCGAACAATAACGAACAAACGTCGAACAATTAATAAAAAATCCAAGTGCAGCTAGTTTCTACGTGGTAGAGCTATGTATGAGAGCCATGAATTGGTCGGCTCGACCAGGGATGGACCACGCTCTCACAGAATACCATTGTAAAATAGCAGATTAACGCTGCTGTGTTTCGTATGGTGAGTGTAGAGAACCGGAGACTCATTACTGGAAAAGAGGCATTCAATCGTCCTCACGGGTGACGCCGCATCTGTATTTGGATTCTTTGTTGAGAATAAATGTAGATGTCTATGGACCGCAGCAACCACTTACCATCAGGTGGACTGTGTGCTCGTTTGTCACCCTTATCCTATAAAAAAATAGCAATAGGGCGATAACTTAATGCTGAAGAATGGTCTTTACCAGGTTTTAAAATGAGTATAATAATATGTGTTTTCCAGTCATCTGGAATAGAACCGGTTGTAAAAGTAATGCTTAACACCAACTGCTAACACGTAGTACCCATATTACCAAGAAATGAGTAGGGGATACCATCAATGCCAGGAGTGGAATCCTTTAGGTGCTTAAGCACTTACTGCATGTCAACTATTGAAAATGGTTCATTAAGGTCATTAAAAGAGTTAGATGAGTTAGGATGAAATGATTTGGAGGTAGGAAATATCTCTTCTTCTAATGGAACCCAGGGGGAGTCAGTCTGATATATTAGATTAAAATAACCGTTCTGTTGCCGTTCGTTTTGTAATAATTAAGGAGCAATCTGCATACCACCATGGTGGTGAAGAAATTATTTTTGTGGAGGAATTCTTCAAAGGGAAAATTTAGCAGGCTATATTATTCCAAAGGGTTATAAACTGGGAGTAGACACAGAAGTATATCTGGAGATACTGGGGATAGGTCAGCTCCAGTTGAGAGGGGGCGTGGGGGAGGGCAATGTGGGCGGAACCGCCCAGGGCGCCAGGGCTTACAGGGCGCCATACGCGCCAGCTTAACTTCACCACTTCATTTAATTCTACTAACTATCTCTGTCAATCTAAAGAAAAAATAAATGCAGCGTAGATTAACTTTCACGAACTTATCTCGTCAGAGTGTCATTTATGATCATGAGTATTCACATTCAACATATCATTTTGTCACTTGTCGTATCTCTCATTTACCAATATAGAACGAGAGAGACACACTGAGCAACAAGCGAGAAATTATAACTCGTATTAGGTTATCTGTATTATATTATATTTTCTTCGCCATCTACATACTGTTAAGTTTATAAACAAATTAAAAAAATAAAAGCCAGTCGGCAGCCGAACTGGAAGTAGATGTTTTATTATTATTATGAAGATTTAGAGGCCATACGTCAAGACATTTCATCTTTGTTACGTCGAAGCTCAGCGGCGAAATCAAAATCTTCCCAAAGATGAATTTATTGCACTGAAAAACTTACGCAACAGACCAGATCTCACGATTCTCCGCGCAGATAAAGGTAATGCTACGGTTATAATGGATACGTCGGATTACAATTTTAAAATACAACAACTTTTATCGGATGAAAGTACGTACGTAAAAGTTCAAAACAGACACTACAACTAATGCACTTAAAACAACTAGCGATCTAATAAAGAAATACTCCGAGAAACTGAATCTAGGCGTTAATTCGATAATACCTACGTGTGCCAAACCGCCGAAGTTGTATGGGTTACCAAAAATACACAAACCGAAAGCTCTATTACGTCCAATAGTGAATCAGATCGATTCGCCAACTTACAGATTGGCTCAACACCCAGCAAAAGTACTATCACCACTCAGAGGACACACAAGAGCACACACTAAGGATTCATACCATTTTGTCAGTGAGATAAAAGACCTATGTCTTACTGCCAATGAAACTATGGTCAGTTTTGATGTTCAGTCTCTATTTACATGCCTACCTGTTGAAGACTGCATCTCAATTGTAACTAGGAAACTAGAGGAAAACAACATGCCAGCAAACTATGCAGTATTACTCAGACATTGCATTACATCTGGCTATCTATTGTGGAAGGAAGAGTTTTACAAGCAAGTAGATGGTGTTGCGATGGGCTCACCGGTATCTCCTATTGTCGCCGATATTTTCATGGAGGAGAAAGCCAGTAACTCCAGGGTTCTACAAGCGGTACGTAGACGATACTTTCACTATTTTACCATCAGACAAAGTAACTGCATTTTTAGAACATCTCAATTCCATAAACTTTAAAATTCAATTTACTATGGAGTTAGAGACAAATAATTCTTTAGCTTTCCTAGATGTGTTAGTCATTCGAAATCCTAATAACACCATAGGTCACACTGTGTATAGAAAAAAGACCCATACAAACCGATATTCAAACGGTGAATCCCACCAACATCCTTCACAGTTAGCTCCCGTGGGCAAATCTTTGTTACAGAGAGCACGAGGGATCTGTGACAGCAAACACCTGACCGCCGAGCTTCAGCACGTCAAGCAGGTTCTGCACGACAAGAAGCTTCAGGTTCCGCGCCTACGTCACAGTGACCGAGTGAAGCCAGCCACAGTCGAGCGTGTGCCTGCTGTACTACCATATGTCAGAGGTGTCACAGACAAGATTGGCTACATCTTGAAGCGAGCTTCTATTAGAACATTCTTCAAGCCGCCGAAGAAGATTAGTCAGTTCTCACCATCCGTCAAGTGCAATATTCCTCTATAAGATGCAGGAGTGTACAAGCTTGATTGTGAATGTGGTCTCTCATATATAGGGCAAAGAAAATAATCAATAAAAATCCGCGTAAAAGAACACATAGCTGACGTGAAGCACCAACGTTCCGGGAAGTCTGCAGTTTGTGATCATATCCTAGACGGCCCCCGCCATTACATCTGATTTGATAAATCACAAATTCTCACGAAAGAACATCGATTCCTGCCAATAATGATACGTGAGGCTATTGAAATTAAATAACATCTTAATTTTAATAGAGAGGGAGGCTGGGTACTACCACCTGCTTGGGATCCTGTAATTAATAAAATTAAAACTAAACCCAAGCACACCACTGCAAGACTTCAAGATACAGTAAGTTCATTCTGCGTAGATAGGACCAAAATTAATAATTAAAAAAGCTGAAGGTACTCGGGGTTCACCATGACATCGGTATGTCAATCACCTGAGTCCCCCGTGACCATGGGTGCTGGAAAGCACCCGAAACGTCGGGAATTAATAAAAATAAGCAAAATAAGTTAATTAAACGCGATAAAATCCGTAAAGGTAGTTTTATTCAATGTGTAGTGTTCACGTAAATATAAGAAATCACAATGTCCACACGTTACAATAAATAACAAAATCATTTCCTTCATTAGCGTAAGATAATCTATAAGATCAAAGTAAACCTTAAATCAAAAAAAAAATAGTAGCAAAGTAAGTTTCTTTCACTTTAATTTATAGTTAGCTGCCACGGCAAGATTGAACTCTGTGTTTCAGTTTCACTCCGAAGGTTTTCCTCCAGTATGTATTTTCATATGTGTTTGCAAATTACTTTTTCGAATACATTGATATTTACAGATATCACACAAAAAAGGTTTTTCTCCAGTATGTATTTTCAAATGTGTTTGCAAATTACTTTTTCGATTACATTGATATTCACAGATATTACATAAAAAAGGTTTTTCTCCAGTATGTATTTTCATATGCCTTTGCAACACATCTTTTCTAATACATTTATATTCACAGATATTACATGAAAAAGGTTTTTCTCCAGTATGTATTTTCATATGTGATTGCAAACTACTTTTTTGAATACATTTATATTCACAGATATTACATGAAAAAGGTTTTTCTCCAGTATGTATTTTCATATGTGATTGCAAATGACTTTTTGTACCACATTTATATTCACAGATATTACATGAAAAAGGTTTTTCTCCAGTATGTATTTTCATATGTGATTGCAAATGACTTTTTGTAACACATTTATATTCACAGATATTACATGAAAAAGGTTTTTCTCCAGTATGTATTTTCATATGTGATTGCAAATGACTTTTTGTAACACATTTATATTCACAGATATTACATGAAAAAGGTTTTTCTCCAGTATGTATTTTCATATGCCTTTGCAAACTATTTTTTTGAATGCATTTATATTCACAGATATTACATGAAAAAGGTTTTTCTCCAGTATGTATTTTCATATGTGATTGCAAATGACCTTTTGTAACACATTTATATTCACAGATATTACATGAAAAAGGTTTTTCTCCAGTATGTATTTTCATATGTGTTTGCAAATTACTTTTTCGAATACATTGATATTTACAGATATGACACAAAAAAGGTTTTTCTCCAGTATGTATTTTCATATGTGTTTGCAACACATCTTTTGTAATACATTTATAATCACAGATATTACATGAAAAAGGTTTTTCTCCAGTATGTATTTTCATATGCTTTTGCAAATGACTTTTTGTAACACATTTATATTCACAGATATTACATGAAAAAGGTTTTTCTCCAGTATGTATTTTCATATGCGTTTGCAAACTACTTTTTTGAATACATTGATATTCACAGATATTACATAAAAAAGGTTTTTCTCCAGTATGTATTTTCATATGCCTTTGCAACACATCTTTTCTAATACATTTATATTCACAGATATTACATGAAAAAGGTTTTTCTCCAGTATGTATTTTCATATGTTGTTGCAAATGATGTTTTTTAATACTTTTATAATCACAATTATTACAACAGTACACTTGTTCAGCGACGTGCACTTTAAGATGTACCAAAATGCAACGTTTTTGAGATGTTTTAAATTCGCAAATATCACAATTAAATATTTCCGTTAGTTGTGGGACTGGAGTTTGTTCAACTTGTGTCCGAACTGCAGTAGTGACTGAGTTCTTTTGCGTCTTATGACTGTATGAAATGTGTTTGGCGAGAATGTCTTTTCTTGAAAATTTTTTGCTACAACCATCACATTCAAAAATGCATTTTGTTGATGCCCCTGACGTTTTTTTCATAAGTATATTTACACTCTTTCGTTTCAAAATTTTCTTTTTCATAATCTTTGCAGGATGCTTTCCTTTTTTATTAATTGGTTGATTATGTTTTTTCAATTTAGGCTTTGATTTAATAGTAGGGCTTTCTAAATCGAGGTTTCCTTTACCAACATCGTTTATGTTACAATCAGTAGAATTTGATTTAATTTTCCTCTCAGACAGTTTTGAAAAATTATTTGTCGGTGTGATGTATGGTTCTGAAATACATAAGAATTAAACATTTTATTTATTATAAGACACCACAAACTGTGAACACTGGGCGGAGTTTATGCCTTATGGCATTCTCTATTGGTAAACCAGGGAGAAATAGAGAAATTACAATATTTTACATGATTATACTCTTGTAATGTTTCTATATACATATAAAGTATTTTAGCCAATTACTTTGAGTAATGTATCTCATATGCATTTTTGGAGGGAATGAATGGTAGCGAAACTATATTCGAATGATAATGATGACGTTCTTCTGAACGTGTTATAATTACATTAATATAATAATCGCTGCTTCAAATCACACACGGAACCAAGCATTATACAGGATAATTGGAAGATAGACTTGATGATTGAAAAAGATCATTTAGGCCATAGTTATGTTAGACAAAGTCTGACTATACTTTTTAGTTTTTGGTGATAAAACCAAAAATTTTACAAATAATTGCTAATAATTGCCAGTTTTATAAATGTCTGTTTTTTTTATTTATTTAAATATTGTGTAAGCAATCTAAGAAAACATGGCCTCCGCATCTGTGTCATCAGACATTTTTGTAGACACTAAGTTCACAAAAATTTTCTACGATTTAGTGAAACAAGTTTTTGACGCTACGTTAAAAAAAAAACGGATGATACTGTTTTGTTCAAACCGTTTTGAAAACATAATTGGTTATTACTCTTTCATTTAAGGTATCACTTCGTGGAACAGATTGAGGTAGAAAATTTAAATTTGTAGGCAGACTAATAAAAATTCTAATTATTTATTTATTAATGCACAAAATAATTGCCTCGATTCCTAACACAAGCACGGACCCGTCGTCTCACTTCTGTTGTAGTTACATTAAACATCATTGTTTCAAATGCTGAATCAATTGTTGGAAATTTGAAATTTCGGCCATGTAGGTTGAAACAATGAATGAGGAAGTTTCACGAGTGGCAGCCTCGTACCGGTAGACGAAGTATAGGGCGGTCCTCCACTGAGACCTATGTTCAGCAGTGGACTTGTGAAGGCTGTAATGATGAAGATTTAATGATGCAATGCGCTCATCTCTGGCAGAAATAGGTAAGAGGAGGAGGGAGGAGTCCATCTCGGCAGGCACAAATAGATCAACTCCTAGACAAAAATGGAGTCACACCACCTAGTACTGACACCAAGAAGATGGCAAAGATAATTGGTAGCTTACCAGTATGTAACTTAGTGACATACATACTGGCTGCATTTATACGGGATCAAAATATTTTTAAATGTATTAATAAGAGTGCTTTTGACATGCACTTTGAATTTAAACAAAGGCAAATCAGTAAATCAATACATTACACATGAAGCCCTCTTTATTTTGTGTCCATGGGCTACAGTAACCACTTGCCATAAGGTAAATTGTACCTTATTTTAATAATATCAAAAAAGGGGAATATCTTACCTGTTTCATGATTCTCATTTTCTTCCAATTTGGAATTCTCATATTCGAAAATCTCCTCCTCAACTTTAACGGCATCAAGGCAAAAAATTTCGTCCTTACAATCATTTTCTCTATCACACTCTACAGGCCAGATATCTATATGATTAATTGGTGTGAACTGAATCTCATCTCTAACCTTATGCGGTTTTGGTATTGACTGAAAGGAAATTCTTTTTTCAAATAAGAGAAAAAGCCACTGTAGTGGTGGAGTAGGAGAATCCAGACTATCCAATGCCATCCTGCAGATGTTGTAAAAAGGGACAGACAAAAACTGAAACATGAGATCGGGGGGCAGCATCTTCCTGATAACAACTTCAAATAATAATAAACACCGGACAAAAGTGAGGGTTCAGCGTAAACTTAAATAAGAATGTACATAGTTCATCTATCCCGAGAATCGAGTCTCAACAATTTTCAGATTCAGATTCACAAAATCTGTAAATTGACAAAGATTTATCATTGTTTATTAAGATTTGTTTATATACAATAGGGTAATATATAACAGTATAAACAGTTTGATAATTGTTTTTGTAAAAATAAGTACTATTACTCTAACAAAAGTAAGTTGGATTGAAGGACTAACTTAACTTTGCACTAGAAACATTCTCCCATATGACAATGGGAAGCAGCATAGAAAAGTGGATCGTGCAGTGACAATGTAAGAATATCCACTATCCTATATATACCTATCCACAGGATGGGTGTCGTAAGTGGCAACAGAGGGAAACAGAAACAGGGTTTGGGCGGCAGCATCTTCCTGATAATGATTAATATATAGAATAAGGGTGACAAACTAGCACACAGTCCACCTGATGGTAAGTAGTTACTGTGGCCCATAGACATCTACATCTATCTTCATTTGAGAATTAAAATGCAGATGTGTTGTCAGCCGTGAGGACTAAGATAGAATGCCTCTTTTCCAGTAAAATGGGTCTCCGGTTCTCTACACTCACCATACAAAACACAGCAGCATTAAGCTGCTATTTTACATTGGTTTTCTGTGAGAGCATGGTCCTTCCCCGGTCGAGCCGACCCATTCGTGCTACAACTATACTATTAAATGCTCTACCACGTAAATAATGACTCCGACTAATATAAACTATGGTTGCCAACTTTCCAAGTGTGGAAAATTTGGCAAAATCCCTCCTATGAAGCAATATATGAGTGAGACCTATGTTCAGCAGTGGACTATTATAGGTTTAAATGGATAATACCATGGATCCTCCTGAAAGCAACTGCTCCACAACTGCATTTGACTCAATAGCCTGTTGTTGTAATCTTCTGCAACGAATGAGTCTTGCATGACAGGTGAAACAGATTATTATTGGTCCCTCATTCTCATCCAACTGAAAATATGAAAATCTTCATAAATATGGAATACTACTTAAATATATAAGTTTGTAATAAAATCTATTGGCTACCACATTTCACTTTGTCAACATCATTTTTTATAATATTGAAGTGACAAATAAACCTACCATCTACTTGATGGTAAGTGACTAATGAGCACCATGGGCACCTGCAACAAACTTCAAGCAATGGCTACAGATGCAATGTTACCTCTGAGGACTAATATGTAATGCATCACAACCTGGCTCTCGATGTCCTTCAGCCAAGGATACATACTGCTGCTTGGTGCCAGAAATAGGTAAGAGGATGATATCTAGGCAGAAATAAACAAATACAGTTCCAAGCCACCTACATCCATCAACTACATTACCTACATTAACTTCAAACTGCTATCATCACTAAGAACATTACAAATACTTCTCTTATCGCTCTAAGTAAACTGATAATGCGTGTGGTAGGAGGAATTTGAAACAAAACACAGGGTGGTGGGTGGTACTACACATTCTGTGAAAGTGTAGTACCACCCCAGTAGCCAACCCATCCATGACACAACCATAATATAGCTGCAGCCTGGCTCTACCACATATAAAATAATGATAATAAGTCTTTCTACTCTATTCTCTCATTTTAATAGTCCAATAGAATTGTTTTAATTTGCTGAACAACCAAACCAGGGTAAATGTTAATTTCTTGATAGAAAATCACAATAATACTCATTCAAGAAATATGTACTAGAACAGACACCAGGAACAAAATCTATGCAGCAGTGCAAGTTGCATGGAAGGAGGCGCAGGGCATCTTTTTATGGGACTGACTCTGTAAATTTGGGCCCACGGGCTCTAACGCGTGTTGCAAACAGTCTCGGCATATCTTTTAGTATGTAGTACAATGAAGCCCCAGATGAAGGCCAGTTTGGCCCGCAACATGATGTGGAACACTCAATCTACATGACGATGCAACATTGCACAGTGACACGGAACATTGTAAGGGACGTGGGACATGTTGCTTGCTCCCGCTCCGAGAGGGAGAACACATGTCCAGCATCAGCGTCACATCATTTGTTACCAGGTGTAGTTGTGTGCACAACTTGCCTTGCAACATGTCAATTGTGTGAGGAAACAAAACCATGCTTTTACTTCTTAAACTTTACCAGAGTCATGTTTTGTTATGGGATACTTCTAACCACTAACTTCTGGTACTATTCTGCCAATCAGTTGTTTCAATACACTCGAAAAGTGTATGACAAGGAAGCATAAGAAACTCTAGTTGACAAGTATCTTAATGCAACGCCAAGTCTGATACTAATATGAGGGCAACAGCATTCCGTAGTATAGGATCTTGTTTGGCTATGGAAGGTCCGATCATTTCTTATAAAGTTTCAAAGTCAGATGTTGACATTCGGGTAAAATTCACACAAGATCCGTCAGACAGTCAGAGATCACTTAAAATATTAATTACTCTTCCTTCACATTGTAGTAAGGAATCTCGCATCCACCACCTTCTTTTTCGCTTACGTTTCACTCCCGAAATAAGAACTACGTACGCAGCACTAATCGCCACAACCTTCTCCGGCGACATTTCTATAAGCACTGACTAGTGTGGCCTGCAAAGTTCCGCGACATAGGTATGTCTCGGGACATTCCACGTAGTAGTTTAGAAACATGTTGCGCAATATGCCGCTCCTTTCGTACCAAAGTATATCCTACTAGGCTTTACTTAAATGATAATACTGATTTTAGTGCGTCCCAGTATACCAGGCTAATTGTTGTAGTTCAGGTTCTGGTTGTATTTGTCATTATATTTAACACTACATCTTAGAACATATATCGGGTATCATAATGTATTTCTCTAGTGATAACAACAAATTACCGCAACTTCATTTAGCAATAAATAAATATTAAAAAACTTACAAAACTGTTTGTCAATGTCCTATACAAATTTTGGAGGCCAGTCTCCTTAAGTACAACCATGTGTACATTAACGCCTAAACAAATTCTACAAACTTCACCTTCACTAAAGGCCATTGCTGTTTTCTATAGCTTTATTAAAATTGATTATTGAATTCTCTTTTTCATCACTTTTTCATCAACAAACCGGACTTTTCACTTGTTGTAGGGATGTTCGATGATTATCGTTTTTTTTCCTAGTTGTCAACTTCCAATGGATTCTGTCAGCGTCAAGTATTTTTTTTTTGGAGTTTATGGCCTGGCATCTAGACCTTTAGGCCAAGCATCAAGTATTTCATGAGAGTCACACAGAGTATTTACTAGTTTCCGTTTCCGTAGATGCGCTTACTTAACTTTATGTTACGAACTTACTTACCTATGTAGTTATTTTCGAATGAATTAACATTATAATATTTTTACAAAATTATTGCTAATATAATAATATGGATATAGGTAAGTGGCAAATGTACTATAGTTTAATGTTATTAATGGATATGAAATCTAATAAAGTTTGAACAAAAGGAGTGAAAACTAAATTTAACAAAGACTTAAGATTTACAGGACGATGAATGTTATCATAGATAAATATATATGTAGCAAGAATGTTATTAGGAAGAAAATCGTATAATGAAACGGAGAGGTTAGGGCAGTTAAAAAATTTATGATCGATCGTACCTTCGTCTAATCCACACTCACAAATTGAGCTATATTTAATCTTAAGTTTTGCCAAAAATACAGGTGTACAAGTGTGTCCCAATCTAACTCTACATATGACAGATGTGCTATGTTTGGAACCATTTCTAAATTTAAAAAACCATGGTTTAGAGGGGATGTCAGGTTGGAGTTCTGCATAATATTTACCGATAGACTTCTGAGTTTTTTTCCAAAGAGAGTGCCAATCTGACATCTGATGGATTTTCGCAAGAGAAATAAGATCATGAGTATATGTTATATGATGCATGAGGGTACCAGAAATAGATGCTTGCTTTGCTAAGGAATCAACAAATTCGTTGTCACGTATGCCATTATGACTTGGCAGCCAAGCAAGTTTCAGGTTAAGACCTTGACAAAAAGACCTATACAGAGCATCTTTTATTTCAAAAATAATTGGGAATTTCGATTTACTTCGAAACGGGTTAGATGAAATGCTTTGTAATGAACTATATGAGTCAGTAAAAACAATACATTTGTTAATTTTATGTGCTTCTATAAATGAAATTGCTTCTAAAATAGCAACCGCTTCACCAGTGAAAATTGAAGTAACATTTGAATTTTTAAAATTTAAAATAATTTTATATTTTGGTATCCAGACAGCTGAACCTACAAAACTATTATCGGAGAGTTTGGATGCATCAGTAAAAAGGGTCAACCAGCCTTCCCATTTTTCACGTAATATACTTAGAAATTTTTCTTGGGCTACAGGGGAATTTTTAGTCACACGAAAATCTAATATAACTGGAGGGTGATAACATAAAGCTTCAAATGGATGTACGAATAGAGGATTAATCATACTTTGAAATATGGGAAATTTGAAGGTAAGTATCTTTTGGTAGCTTTTAAGAATACAGGGAACGTCTTTATGAGTCCAGTAGTTGTAATTCTTCAAAACAGAGTTTAAAGAATGCACTTTAGAAAGCAGTGGGTGTGAAGATAGCTGAAATATTCGATATATAAAGCGATCGGCAAGATACTGTCTACGTAGGTAAAGAGGAGGTTCGCCACATTCAACTTGTAGAGCATTTGATGGAGATGATTTCATGGCCCCTAAAATAATTCGTAAGCACTTGAGTTGGATTTTATCTAAAAGGTTAAGAGCTTGTTTATTACAAGGTTCCAAAAGAAATGTAACGTAGTCAAAATGACTACGGATTAGAGCGTTATATAAAAGTTTTAAACAATATGGATGAGATCCCCACCAAACACCTGTCAGTGAACGAAGGATATTTACATTATTTTCACATTTTTGGGCAATGAACGTTAAATGAGGAATACCTGTCATCTTAGAATCCAGAAAAACACCTAGGAATTTAACATTATCACTTGTCGGAATTATTTGATTTTGTACTGAGATTGAAATATTGGGACAAAATCTTTTTCTAGAGGATATTACTACTCTACTCTTTGTAGGTGATAAGGATAGACCGTTATTAGTAAGCCAATTATTTAAGTAGAACAATGCAGAGTTAAGACGATAACTCAAGTCTGTAAAGTTCTTAGAAGAGTAATAAAGAGTTAGATCGTCAGCATATTGTAAGACTTTACAAAAGGAGTTAACAGAATGTTCGAGATTATGGGAGTATATGTTAAATAAAATAGGACTTAAAACAGAACCTTGTGGGAGGCCTCGCCATATCTGTCTAGGAGGAAGCAGTTTTCCTTGAACTCTTATACTTATATATAACTGAAAGTAAATTAAAAATAATGCGAGTAATTCTATGGGGAATATCCAAAAGAAGCATCTTTTCTTTGAGTAAAGGGAGGACAACGTTATCATAGGCTGATGATACATCTAGAAAAACAGCACCAATCGATTCTTCTCGGGAAAAAGCCGAGCGTATATCAGAGGTAAAAACAGACAAGCTATCAAGCGTGCTCAGTCCCTTTCGCAATCCAAACTGTGTTTTGGCCAAAAGACCTTTATTTTCAACAAACCATTCTAGACGGTTTTCAATTAAATGCTCCATTATTTTGCACAGAGTTGATGATAGTGCTATAGGGCGGTAACTACACTCAGCGTCACAAAAATCGCACCTCTCTGAGTTTGCGCGAAAAATGGCTGTAATGACTAGAAACGAATTAAATTTATATAAATATTGGTATGTTTGAAATGGGTATTTGAATAGCTTTACATTATTAATAAAAAAATCATGAAATCATTAAAACATTTATCATTATAGAGCGTTAAAAATAAACACTGTCAAATGCTCGTTAGTAAGGACGCTAGTTACACCACCTAAAAAGGGTATAAAAGGGTCGATCTGGATGAAATATGGGTCAGTCGTAATTTAGACTTTGCAGTGAATACACGTGAACAAGTAACCCAAGTAAGAACAAGTAAAGATGGACACCAGCTCTGAAGAAGCCGCTCAAGTGATTGCCCTATTGCAGTCGGGGATGCGGCAGTGTGACGTTGCTCGACAGTTGAACCTGTCCCGTTTTTCAGTTCGACGGGTGTTCCAACGTTTTCAGCAGACTGGTGGTTATGTTAGAAAACCGGGATCTGGAAGAAAACGGTGCACATCAGAAAGAGATGACCGTTTCATCGTTTTACAAATGCTGTTGAGTTGCAACAACAGCTTCGATCAACTCGGAGAACATCTGTGAGTGTTTCTACGATAAGAAAAAGGTTACACGAAAAGAGTTTAACAGCCTATAGACCTGCTAAAGGTCCAAAACTTACTGCACAGCATCGCAGAGATCGCCTAGAGTTTGCTCGCAATCATTGCGAGTGGACTCTAGAACAGTGGCGGACCGTACTCTTCTCTGATGAGACGAGGGTCTGTCTCTTCTGCAATGACAGACGTAGAAGGGTCTACAAAAGACAGGGGGAGAGGTTCACACAACCCTGCTTCGAAGAATCCGTCGAATACGGGGGTGGCTTGAGTATGTTTTGGGGCGGCATTTCCATCGACGGGAAAACGGAACTTGTGCGCGTTTCCCGGACTCCCGGGTGGCCGTAGGCAAGGGTCATTAAATGCTGGTCGGTAAATTACTGAAATCTTGGAGGAACATGTGGTCCCGTATGCTGGTTATGTCGGTGATGGATTCATGATAAAGCTCGTTGCCACACCGCGGCTATTGTACGGGATTATTTACAGGAGGTCGATATCCCTGTTATGCATTGGCCAGCACGAAGTCCAGACCTTAACCCAATAGAAAATCTCTGGGATGACCTAAATCGGCGCGTGCGAGCTCGAGATCCAGCTCCAACCACTCTTCAAGAGCTCCAAGATGCGGTACTTGAAGAGTGGGAACAAATACCCCAAGAGGCTGTTGCGACCCTTGTAAGGTCCATGAAAGATCGCATGGAAGCCGTTATCAAGGCAAGGGGGGGGGGGGTAACACTAGGTTTTAAGAACTTTTTTTGTTTTTATTAAGTTTTTTTTTAAATTATTAATTTGCAAATTTGTACATACATTGTCTTTTTCTTTAATTCCTCTTTCGTCTCGTTATAAAAGTAAAATTCAATTAAAATTCCTGAAAGCTAATGAAATTACCTTTCGAATGATACCCTCAAACCACAACATTGCCATTGGCCTGTTGTGTTAAAATAGTATTTAAATTATTTTTTTCGGATGTGCGATTTTTTTGACGCCGAGTGTATTACCATCACTAGGATTTTTGTCTGCTTTTAAGATGGGGATAATAATTTGCATTTTCCAATCATTAGGGACTATTCCCGTAATAAATATGTCATTGATTAAGTCTAGAAAAATTTGCTTATTTTGCTTTTGATCCTGCGTTAGAAATAAATGAGTATGGAATTCCGTTTATTCCTGGTGACGAATCTTTAAGGTGTTGAACAACCAATTCAAATTCTTCATTGGAGAAAAGTTCATTAAAACGTGAATTATTAATGTTTACTCCAGGTTGGGTTATCAATGGTTCACAATAACATAATTCCTCAAAGGAGGGAATCCAAGGAGGAGCAAGCTTATCGGCAAATAAATTGTACCAAATAGAGGAATCACATTGCGGTGAATAATTATCAACGTTATATGATCCGCGGAATTTCTTTATATTCTTCCATACTATAGAAGCAGGACAGCGGGGTGAAAGATTTTCACAAAACCTAAGCCAACCCGTCTTTTTTTTATGTGCTAACAGTTTTAATGTATGGGCAGCTATTTTTTTATAATTTAAAAAGTTTTCAATAGACATATTGGAGGAGTATAGACGTTCAGCTTGTTTTCGTTTTTTAACACTGAGTGTGCATTCCTCATCCCACCATGGGGGAGAACAAATTTTGGTAGGAGGCGAAGTTTTTCGTGTGAAACATGAATCTGCGGTGAGTAAAAGGTACTTAACAAAGTTTTTGTAGTTTGTCCCTATATCATTAGAGTCACTGTTATAAAATTTAGAGAGTACTGAATCTGACAACGATGAGAATTTAGCCCAGTCCGCTCGTTTTATATTATATTTTAACAGCGGAGAAAAAACTCTGATTGGTATTGAGCAGTTGGCTAATGAAAGTAATATTGGG